ACAAAGCAGATAATAACTTGTTTTAGAACAAAATGTTATTAATCATCATAGTAATGCTCAACTAAATCAAGTACAACTCGATCAACATTTATTTCCAAGAAATATTTCATATGAGTATACCTGTAATGACAATTTCTATTTTTTATATTTTATAAATTTTTATTGATACTTTTGGAAAATATGTAAATTATAGACAAATCCACTTTAAAACAGTATGCTGTTATCATAATTAAACATCTTGTCAATATAAACATAACCAAGGCATTTGAAGAACACAATAACAATCATTTAATTATTTTGCAAATAATTAAGTCAATAAAAGTAATATTAAAATCATTTTATCACAAATTAATGGTTAACATAACATAATATTATGCTGTAAAACAGTTAGTTTTGTCTTATGTTGTTATAGTACAAATACCAGATTTTGAGCATTGCTTTGCTTCAAGAAAATATCGCCATATCAAGCTTCATTAAAAGGCACAGAACAGGAAGCTGGTTCTAAAATTACATTGATTATCACGATGTAAATCAATTTTAAGATCTCCCCTAAGTACTTTCTATTAAAAGGGCCCCACTGTGAGCAGGTGAGTTTGTTTTTGACATGCATGAACTTATGTCTTGTAACTTATGTACCATGTGATGAAGGTCCAGACCTATATTTCAGATCGTTCGCTCTCTCTGATTTTTGCATAGTCATTGTTTTTATTGCGCAAAATGGTCGGATATGAAAACCGTCTTTAACTTAGATGCTGGCTAAGAACCGCACACACAAATACAATTAAATTTTGCGTATATTTTTATCATCTTTTGCAGATCTTGTCTAAGTCCTCAAGTTGATCTGTGTAACGTTAACTGTTTTGGAACATTAGGGCCACATTAAAGGATCTTATATTTTCTAAACATTACATTCTTTAGTACATCTTAAAAACAAACAACATTTTCTTCTCATTTTTATCGAAAAACATGTGACTTTAGAATACTACTTTACGGTATAATTCACAGATAACTTAGATCAATTAAATTAAATATAAAAGCCATACAAAAAGGGGTCATGACTTAAGCATGGTTCAAAGTAAGCAATTAGACGATCTAATAATGGCACAGGTAATACTAAATTATTCTTAGTACAACATGTCAACGGTTAACTAATTATGGCAAGTAATAAAAAATGTGACCTCATTGTACCTACTTTCTTTATGCAGCGACATTATTACCTTTTGACCACAAATACATTAACGCCATACGTCGCCTGCCGAACATGACACTGGCTCTTAAACTTTTTTTCTTAATTTCCCTTTAAGTTATTTTTCAGGAATTCCAGCCATTTATTTAATGAAAATATCTGACATATCTTGCTGGTGTATTTGCAGCACTTTTCAAATTTTATGTAAATAATATTATGTGAAGAAGCATAAGTTTAAACATTAACTAGTGAAAAAATGCTTTCATATTCCTCTTATTCGACTTTTATATGCTTTAAAATATCCATCTATATGCTATGATTCGAAACGAATGTTTACTGTTTTCTTTTATACGTTAACTCATGATAATAAAATATGGCATTAAATTCTTAAATGAGCCTCATTTCAAATGTAACATTTATTTTCAAAGGGAAATAACTGAATAAGTAATCCTTCCCAAACACTAAATTATAATCGGTTAAACAAAAACAAAATAATTGTTGTTTTTAATGTGTGAACTGAATTCTTATTTCGTAAGGTGAGCTTTGAAATGATTGTAATTTGATAATACAATTCAACATCTTTCTAAAAATATATTGAATAACATGAAAAGCCTTTTAGATTTAAAATCAAATGAGTATATATCCCTGTAGTGCTGATCAAAGTACGCAAAATAGAATAAGAGTAATCTATTATGTTACTCCGAAAGTATATATTTTTCTCAGCGCTTTCATTTCCAAACAAAGTGTTGTTTATCGGATTGCCTTGCAATTAAAACTAAACTCCTACAAAGTATTGTTTTTGTATTCACGTGTTTAAGTGATCACGAATCAAAAGCCAACGTGACTTTTCTAAGCCATTTCAAAATTAAATATGTTTTTACAGTTTTAACGCCAAAAAATCCTCATCCTTTATATTCAGTTTTTTAAAAGCAGCAAAGTGGAAAGTTAACGCACCCTAATACTTAAAAACGTTTAAAAAATTTGTTTTTACAGAAAACTGTTTTTAGAGATTTAATTTGACACTGTGCATGTGTTAAGCGTAATGAAACCTTAAACACATGTCTGTCTGTATTCAATGCAGTCAAGGCAAATATCAGCATATCAATTGAAACACAAAGGGAAAGTTGTAACATTCTGACACATTAATTTTAAAAAAACAATGTTTAAATGAGATGACTCTGATAGATTGTTGCCTTAAAAGAGGATCTAAAGATGTGTCCATAATGTGAATAGCTGTTTGTCGGACAAATGACACGGGTCATGTAAATACAACTAATTAAGCGATTTTCACAAGCGAAGAGGATGATTTTGAAAATCTTCTTTTGAACAGCAAAATGACAGAGAAATAAAAAAATCAAAGCACAGAAGGTGCTGAATTTGTTTGGGTCTCAGAATGTAAGAAAGGTGCAGGTTGTGAGATTATATGTATAGTGCCACCAATGCTTTCCAGCGTTTTAATTGTAGTAAATTGGCTATAAGACTAATTGCAACACTGATATTCAATCCAATGTTTATTTGACTTTAACAATTTGAAAAAAAATGAGTTACCTTTACTGGGATTTGAACTCCAGACCTCTCGCTTCCTAAGCGAGCCCGAAAACCCTTCAGCCACGGTGAATTTATAATGTGAACGGGCTGAAGAAAACCATATTATTCTAAATTAGGGCTTGTAACGACTTAAAACTGTTGTTTAACACAGATGTAAATAATCCTGGAGCTTACTATAAGCATTTATATTTATAAAAAATCAAAGTGCTGCAAGTTCTGTGGTATTTTCTGATCTTTGCAATCTAAATCGTACTGTATATCTGTATGCATTTTCCTTTTTAGGTTTATTTTTATGTATTATAATTCATTTTGCAAGGCACCAGAGTTTGATACATACGGAATTCTGCATAACTAGAGTTGCATCAAAAAATAATTTATGTTCATTTTTTACGACAGTCACACTTTATCCTTGCATATCATGGCTACTTCCTTAACAAAAACACTTAAAAAAGAATTTATCAGAAAAAAAATTGTCCTCGATTGGGTTTCGAACTCGAGACCTCTCGCTCCCTAAGCGAGCGCGTTACCACTGTACCACGGAGAAGTTATATATAGAAATTCTGAATAATATCAAGTCATTCTAAATTGAGAACTTCCATTGCATTTCGGGTTTGTAATCCTTATTAATTTCGAGGTATTTTGTTCAGGGTAATCCTGTTGTTTAAAATTGAAGTAAATATTTTAGCGAAAATCCTCTTCGCCCAAAACAGTCCGACATGTAGAATCTATATATTCCACTACTCGGTTTGTGTAGTATTCGGTTATAAATAGTATTTTCATTGATAAAATCATATTCATCCGCGTAATTTGTGATTGTGCATTTATTGACAATTCTATAAGCCAACGCTATTGTTTAACTTTAAATGCGTTGTAATTTGTTGGATACTTGTAACAAAATAAAATATTTCTTTCTTTTAAATCGCTAGTTTTAAGCTGTTTTGAGAACTACTTGTTGTTAGGTTTGTTGTAAACTTCTGTGTCAGAGATTGAATGTCCGCTTTGTATTTAGTTATTTTCGATCAGAAAATACAATAAAACAATATTAGAAACCTTCGACCATTCGGGAATTACTTTGCTTGAAAATTGATGCGCCTGTCTTTGACCATCTTTACGCAGTGATCTCCCCTGAATTTTTCGGCTTTAGTGTACATACAAAAGGGAAGTAACCACTTCAAAAAAGTGGACTACTTTCGGCATTTGCAAATAAGAACATTATACTCTGAAATTTCGCTACCATTATTTGTTTGGTCTGACGACCCAAACAAATAAAAATCAATTTGCCTCCCTGTTATTTATAATTATATAGGATTTTGTATGTGCAATGTACATAAGTTACCTAAATACCAATTGATGACATACTAATTTAAATAAATAAATACCAAAATTAATCTTATGATTCACGTATCTTAAGGTATAAAAGACAAAGTTATTGAATGTATTGTAAGATATATGATACTGTCATATAAAAGTCATAAATCTGTGTTCTAGATAATGATGATTAAAAAGAGTGTGTCGTTTATATATTTTTTTTAACTAAATCTCCAAGATATTATATCTGAAGACGAGTCTTATTAAAATTATGTTTCAATAATTTTTATTTGATCTGCATGCATTATTACCACAATTTATATATCAGTTTTTTCTTTGTTATTATAGCAATAACTTTGTTAGATTATATGACATTTAAATAACAACCTCTTGTAATTGGAATATGAATTAAAATAAACAAAGTGGTTTCGGAATGTTTCTGTCTTGGTTAAAAGAGTACCGTAATTAAAATACGTTAAAGTTAATTTCATTTTCAAAGAATATGTTTGAAAATCCGTTTCTAAAATAAAATCAGAACTGTAGTAAATTTTGAGTTTAAAGCATACAGAAACATATGAATTTATTTAATATATTTTGAGAAAAATAAAAGATATCTATGCATTGTTTAATTTGTTGGTTGATCTGCCATTCAAGAAGTCTTTTTCTTAAATTTGAAAAACAACATTTATTCTTATTAAGTTTTAATCACTTACTATTTAGAGGGAAATAATGAAACGCTCTCTAAGGCAAACTTTAAAAAGATTTGGAAATTAATCATGGACAGGAGAAAAAGGCAAATATCAGCATAGTTTATGTGGTCATTGCAAGTCATACACATCAATATTTCACTCTATAATCTAAATTAAGAGTAGGAAATCTGTAGCTTAGAAGAGGTTCAAATGTCATGAATATTCTACAATCAGTCATGATATATAATGAAATATATAAATTTTCTTACCTGGTGGAGTACTATTTACAACCAAATGAGGGCACATCACCGTGACGTTCGTAACTGGAAGGCTTGTATTATCCATGTTTATAAGTCCAACAAGTTCTTTTATCACACAGATTATCTAATATATAAAACTACTAAACATCCGATGAAATCAGAGTTTACATCATATTAGGTTAATTCCACGCATTCTACTTAATCCTTCTCTATTTTCTACACTTATCGTATTTTTAACACTTTTTTCTATCAGTATATCAGTTGTTTTTTTTTTGTTTTTTTTTCTCGTTTACAAAATATTCCAACTATACACGTCCAGATGAATATTAAATCACATTGTTTTTAAATAGCCGTTTAAGACACTATTAATATATTCAAATATCACAATGGCAAATAATATGTCATTGTAAACCGCCTTCGATCTATGTTCACATGTAAAGCACCACTGTTTAACTGACGATATTTTCCCAATAGCATTGATACCTTTTGCAGCCCATATCTGTTATACATTCAATATCTGACCAAAATCGATTAGTTATTAGTGTTTAAGATACACAAAACTATTCTTTTGTTTCACAATTAAACGATTTATCAAAGCGTTTTTGTATTACTGGTCGCAGTATTGTTAGATTTGACAGGGTCATAAGATAAAATCTCACTATACTCCATTTAGATATATAAATATTTTTTATCTTGTAATATATTTTCTTTCATTCACTCATTCAAAGATAAATGAATTGCATTTACGGATTATACGTATGCCATTAAATATTTGTTTTTATACAGTATACTATGTTTTCCAAAAGTTTCACTGTTTTTTTTTATACTTTGTTTGCTAATTTTATTTTTCTCACCTATAAGTCACCTTTTTAAATCAAATTTCATAACATTTTCGTCTAATATTTCAAACACAATTTTGGCAATTATTATATCAGAAATATTTTTTCCAGTAATTATTCCAAACAAGCTATGTACCACTAGTTGCCTTTTAATTGGCACCCATAAGCACTCAATAAACACATAATTTGGAAATAATACATTCTCCCCTCATAAACTCACATAACTGTCGAGCTGTAATTAATATTGTGCGAGTTTTCCCCAAACAATATTTTGAAACTGTTCTTTTATCGATAGAAGTCTTGTCATTTCTCAGAGTTTTCATCCAATACGCTTCAGTTTAGCATTCCAGTCGCGATTAACAACACTCTGTAAGCTACCTTATGTGACAGAGCTCTTTTTAGCTTTTATCTTTCTCAGACGAACATAGATTTAAGCATACACAACCAATTTCAATGAAATGGAGAATTCACCTTGGCGCATGCCTCCTTTCTGATGACATCTGGATATTTGTTCTGAAAATAGAAAGAATGCAACATAAGTTTTTGTTGTTTTTTCTATATATAACAAGAAATGTTTCCAATAAACATCTGTATATACTTGAACTGAATTTAATGGGTAAATAACAGGCATGCAACTTGAATGAATTTGTATTTTAAGCAAATGTAACATATGTATACGCTTCATGACAATGTATGTTTTATGATTATCGAATTGTTATAAAGGTTGATAGTCTTTTAGCATATGTTACGGATATATTTTTGTTTTGTCTTGTCATCATGTAGATGACACACTTTTTTATGACAATATTGAAAACATAAGGGCATGCATTTTAAAAATGTTTACTAACATCTTAAAACAGATTACTTTAGTGTCAAGTTAAACTCGATTTGATTATGGATAGAACTAAAAATCAAATAAAAGAATCAATGACGGTTGATTAAAAGCCATCATTCTTTGGTTTAAAGAAGGGGAAGACATAGTTTTTATGAATAAAATCTAAGAAAATAGTATTTAAAAAAAGACTAGCAAAACTGTAGAAACCTAAACAAAGCACAAGAACAATGCATGAAGACAACATCATTAATACACGCAAGTCATATGCTTTACACTGCAAGAGTGTACGATATGCCCTCTGAACGATACCTTTACACGTAATCCTTTGTGATCTGGGTTGGGCAACAAAAAATACAAATTTCGGTCAAGGTAGTATTTTCGTCTATAACATTTTTAATTTTTCATTATTTATTATTTTATGTAAACCCTGCTCGTTATAGTAAGAAACCAATACACAGTCTGATTTTTTGAAAGGTGCGGAATGTTAAGAGTAAATGTCTGAGTTGTCAAACATAAGGTTTCCATTTACGAAGGAAATACTGATTTTTCCTAGTAAGATCATATAATGTATTGGTTACTCCACTAGATTAGGCGGACTTTTTATTTTATTCCATGTAAAAAAAGAAATATCATAAAAGTGATAAGGTAAGAACCATTTTGGCTGTAAGATGTATCCGTATTTGCTTTTTTGCCCAACGCAGGCCACAAATGTAAAATATAAATTGCTGCTCTTGATTCATTATTGTGGTCACATTAGAGAGGATTTGTATGGAGACTTAACCGATATTGAATGAAAAGGTTTAAACACTATGATATAAATTCTGATATATGTAAACATATATTTAGTACGTGTAAGAATGGCTGTGGACATTTGGATTAGAAATTAAAAATGATATGGTTTCGGTGATTTACAAGACAAGTCCAAATTTGTAACAGGGTTATTCATGGAAAGTCATTATAGAAATTATGACATAAAACATTTTATTTACAAAATCTTAGACAACATATACATTAATCCGTGAAAAGAAAGAAAACCAAACATCAATAGCAATCCAACAAACAAACAAAAAACCAAAACAGGAAACAAAATTAACACTATATATTTTATTCATGAATTTATGATTGGTTTCGTGTTCATTAACTATTCTCTAGTTCTAACAAAAGAAAAATAGTTTATGGTCTAATTTACACTCCTTGTCTTTTATAAGCGACAATTATTTGTTACCAAGAAAAACGAGGTATATGATCAATTGTTTCATGGTATTTGTAAACAAATAAATCGTTTTATCACACGTTTTAACTATCTTATTTATAACTCTGTACGGTTATGCAGCTGTTGTTCTGAAGTATTAACAGTTGTTTGAACACACAAAGCACGCATATAGTTAGCTTTAGTGTAGACACACCTTAAGACAAATGGTTAGCCCGATAATTTCGGTAAAATGTGTTTTTGTTTATAGTAAACAAACCTTGTATCGCCAGTTTTTATTAGACAACTAATATTATTCTTTCTTTATAATATTGCACGTTCTGTAACGTCGCTTTTCATTGTCTGATCCTGACGCGTTTACAAACTATAAAAACTACTGATGCTAATTTATGAAATAATTTCTTTTTTTCTCTAACAAAGGACAATTTAACAGATTATAGGGTGGTTAAACAGTTCGGATTATATATAAAACTAACCGTTGATATATAGCTTTATAATGTTTTATGTTTGTAACGGCGAACGAGACGTTTATATAGTTTTACAAACTCGGTTGCTGTCAATTTATGAAGACATTTAACTTTATTTTTCTCAAAATAATGCATGCTGTATGATACAGTTAATATTTAGACAGGTTATATGGTCGTACATAAACGGTTGTTTCCAATTTGATTAAATAATATTTCCAAACAACTGTTTAAGGACCATGCAACATGTCTAAAATCTTTATAACTAATGATATAACCTGTCAAGAATATGAAACATTCGTATTTTAATCGTAAACTAGTTATTGCGATTTCTACATTAATTGTGACCGTGTATAAACGTCTACTTTACTCAAACATTATATCAATTAAAAAGAATCATACCTTGTAACTAGGGTAAATGATTTCTTAACATTTGACAACGTTTTCATGAATATAAACTTTAAAGAATATAAACACAAAACAAAAGAAGACGTACTGCAAAACAAACAACATTTATTTCTCTCATGCAGGTATCAAATAAAACTTTTCTTTATTTTATTACTATTTTTGTAAATATATAAGTTTATTGACCATACATATAATTACTCTATTACCCATTTTAAAAATAAACAACACTTTATTATCTTAAATATAATAATTATATGATTGACTCCAATCTTAAACAAAAGTATTTATTATGCTTTGTTTTGTGATACCAGAACAAAAAAAATCGTTTTTGTGAACTTAATCATCAACTCTCCATTATAGATTTACCAAATCGTTCTGTTAAAACATAACTATTTTACTAGGTCAAAGTTTTTGCTATTGTACAATCAATAGTTCTCGTGTTTTCAAACCAATCAACGCGGAAGTATGTGTCACTTTAATTGCCCTTTTCCAACATAAGAGAAAGAAAATGATTACCGCACCATTCAGAGAAACCCGAAGTATATAAAACTTTCTCGTGCACATAAAATGCAGTAAAACTGATAAAAGATTCTTGCAAGGTTATAAATAATCCTTAAACGACAACAAACATAAAAATGTGTAACTATAGAAATAAACCTCGTAGCTGATTCTATGGATACATGTTTAAGGCTAAGGCTTGAAAATAATTTTCTTTTTTCGTCGTGTGAAAAGTGGTAAAATTGAAACATGCTGCTCTACAAGTGTGAGATACATGCTTCGATACGACAAATAGATATAAAAAAGATAATATATGGTTCAAGAACAAAATTAAAAGAGATTGATGCCGATTTTATATAACGTCATATGAAACTGTACAAATTACTTGTAAGAAAAAGACGATTTTCGTATAATTAGATGAAATGCAAATATATGTTGTCTAAAGACTAAAAAATTCATATTTATCTGTCAATGAATAAAAAATAATATCTGATCGACATCAATGCCCATTTTCAAAAATAAATATGCTCAGTCTTACCCATCAACTTTTGATCAGTTATATTCCTAATGGTATATTTGTACATTTAATCTAATATGCTGAAATAAGTTTAAAAATAGTTATAATCTTAATCAAAGCAAACGCTTTTTAATCTTGATCCATTAGTGTAACCCAAATATATTTCAGTAAGTCTAATTAAGAAAAAAATATTGCAGATGATCTTTTAATATATTAGGGATGTTTATTACTAACGAATATATCAAACGTATATTATTAATTTACTAATATCCCCGAACAGAAACCAACATCCCCTCATCATGAAATCTACACCAATCAAACAATTACATTTTATGATATTTATTAATATTAAATGATACATGGTATGGTTTCAGTAAACATGCTGAATGTTAGTTGCTTTTAACATAAGAAAGTAGCGATAAATGTGAATTAATTTGTGACAAAAATAGCAAAATATAAACAAAGAAGTATTTTGACTTCCATGCAAAATATCAATGCATTATAACTGTACTTATTTCCAACAGGAAGCGAATGAAACAGATGGTTCAGGTTATTGGCCAACAAGATACGTTTTGGATACTGTAAAACAACACCAAAATTGAACAAGCTTTTGAGAGCATTTCTTAGGCATAATTAGTCTTTAAATCTTATCTACGTTATTTCAGAACAGTTGTGTTATTACATACTGGACTGGTTCAGATTATTTTGAACAAAATAGTATTCTACAGAAAAAATACGCTACACATAAAGAAACGCAGGATAGCAAAGTTGAAATAGGACATTATTCAAACCCGGTTTCATAGAGTCTGCTTTTGACATACAATGGAAAATATAATTTCCCTCACGCTTCCTAGAACCGGCTTAAGCACAAAATAATTGGAATAAATGATACTGAAAAAAGTATATATAGAAACACTACAATGAAGAAAATAAAAAAAATCAAATTCTTATGAATAGGTCCATGTTGACTGAATATGTAAAACATTATATTATTAAAGAAATCGCGGCTCGCATTAATGTTCATTAGGATCCGTTACCATATGCGCACATCTTTTACGCATACCAGAGGTGCGCAAGTGTGCGTTGACGTTACATAGACGCTTCAATTATGTTAGTTCAAGATTCAAGAAATAAACTTACTTATACATTATCTATTCGTCATATGTTTTTCTTTATCTAAATGTATCTCTTAACACATGTTGCACTGTCTCCATGTAATAAATGTTCAAACTGAATACAAAATGTCGACTACAAGAGTGGCACTGCGCCAAGGTACAACATTCACCTAGATTCGTCTATCACTTTTAGGCTTATTTTCACCTATATTACTAATCTAATATAAAATTTTATCATATTGTATTGAGTTGATAATGACAAAGTATCAATTTGTCAACTATTTTCAATGTTAACGAGACAAATATACCTTCTGTACCTCCATTTATTGATTTCAAAAATGTAAAGAGTGTATTAATTGAAAGTATAAAAATTTGTTTCAAAAAAGTGTTTAGATACAAATGAAACGGTGTAATAGGGACAATGTTGAACAACGTAACGTTAATATTAACTTTACTTAATGTCTGT